ATCTCATGTCTTGTCTCATGTCTCATCTAATGTCTCGTCTCATGCCTTGTCTCACATCTCATCTCATGTCTCATCTCATGCCTTGTCTCAAGACGGTCTCATGCTTGTCTCATGTCTTGTCTCATTGTTACCGTGTGTCTCTAGCGGGTGAGACAAACTCGTTGTCTGCTTATGAATTTAGAGGTAACTATCTAAGTGAAAGGATAATGAAACAATTTCTCTATAAAATTAATTAAGGGATCTTGTACAAAATCTATCAAAACACGACACTCAAGTGCAAACAAACTCTATGGATATTAATGACTAATAAAGTAGTGTGTGGATTGCAAATGTGTAGTGGATTTTAAAAGTGTACTAGAAATTAGACTTTAGAGCATGAGCAGGCGGAGGTGGTTCGTGTGCCAGTTAACTGAAAAGCATAACTAAAATTAATTGATGAAAATTAAATTGGCAACACTCATGATAAGACTTTGGAACCTGAGAACTATTTTAAGGTAATTTAACCACTCATGGCCATCATGCCAATAATAGTTCAAGTTTTTTTAGTTCATTTCCAAACACAAGTCAACCAAATTAAGCAAACATTTGGGTGGAATTTTCAAAATTAAATGCCTTACACGCGCCGATGCAGAAAGTGGCTGTCCGCCATTTTGCTAGCATTGTTTACATTCGTGGGTACTTAGTGCACATACCTAGTATTTGTGCCAGCCTTAAGCTTATTCCTGTGCTGTGGTTGATGAAATTGATGCAAGTTTACCAGACATTTCATGCTGCGACGTGCCTTGCCTGATCCTGCTGCTTGCTGATTGCCTGCCTGCTTATGCCCCTTTATGGGGCATCAAGAGTTGAGTCTAGAAAAACCTGGGAATTAAACTGAATCCAAGGGCATCCTTCACCACGACTCCAGTGCAGCAAGTGAAATTGGATTAACCGTGATTCCTTTGAGTAACCTGCCTCAACCTTAGTGGAGCACACAGAGGAGAGACTTGCTGAACTAATTTTCACATTGTCCGGAATTATTGTGCCAGTGCAAATATGTTTTTATTGTGATGTTCTAGTAAAAAAGCAATCAATTTTAGATGGTAATTAGGGATTGATTTTATTGCCTGACCATGCGTTTGCCATTGGTATCTTGTGTGATATCAGCCCGTGTGGGTGGCCTTGGCTAACCAGTTCTTTTGTTTTAGTGATTAGGACTTGCGATTTGCTAGTTGCAACAAGGACTGAGGGCCTGGTGATTTCGCGAGGTTTTGGCTGTGTTTTTATAGTGCAAGCTCCAACTGCTAGCGTGCCTTGCTGCTTCCATACCATCATAACACTACTAACCCCATTTCACTCTGCACCAACTGGCGGTGTCTGCACACTTTGTTGGTTGTATGCTGGTTTCAGTGTCTCATAATATATTTCCCTAAGCTGTGCCCTGCAGGTTGTTTCAGTAGCCTTACATGCCAGTCTTGTCCACCACTGTGGTGCTGTACCATCTACCTCTTTAATATAAATATTAAACTTACCGGGGCTGAATGCCTCCCCTTACATTTTTGGTGTCCCCTCCCCTTACATTTGGGTGGTTCATTTCACAGGCTGTGAAATGATCGTTGCCTTGATTGCCCCATATCCCAGATTTGATTATGACGTATGGCCCTCGCCGGCTGCTGCCTTCCAAGTTGTGGCTGATTTTTTAATAATAAATAGAAGCAATTAATGCAATTGTGCCTTTAGTGTATTGAGAGTTGCATAGAAATTATAGTTCTTACCTGAAGTTTTTAGAGAATTCTAACTAATATTCCAGATTGGAGTGTCTGGGCACAGTCTGGCCTTCAGAGCAGGGCTGGAAAAGTCCTATTTTATTCTGTAATATTGTGGCTCAGTCAGGCTCACTGGCAGACTGGCTCTAATATCATATAATATCAGTAGGTATGAAATCTCATGGCTCTGTCATAAATTTTTGTTTGATTGAAAATATTGCGGTTTGCACTTCACAAACATGTCATTTCATAAAATTTTCAACTTTTGCAATCTGCAGTAGTATATATACTTTGATGCTCCTGCTTTCAGCCAAAATAACATGCAGAACGTTACAACAAGTAAACTCAAAACATTTCCTTGAAGATTGTGTAGTTAAAGTCAGTCACATCAGAGCAGTCAGACTGCATTATCACATGTTCAGTTGCCGCTTATGTGAAGACAAATGCTAGTGACTTCGTAGTGTAAAATTAGAGATGTGGGGTAACACGTGTATGGGACTTTGTAAATAACAAGTTTGCGGCTTGTAAATGGATTTTCACAGCCAAGATATGGAATTCACGGCTCAAAGAAATGGAATCATGGCTGGCAAACCCATGAAGCCACGGCTCAAAAAATCCAGTCCGGCTTGCCAAGTAGATATATTCCATGCCTGCTTCAGAGCAATTAAAAGCAATGTTAATTATTGGGCAGAATTTTTTAATAATATTGGGTGAAAACTATTGTTTTATAAGCAATTATTCAAAATATAGGCAGTAAAAATGCCATTTTGGCAAATAGGTTGTTTTTGTTTCATGATCTGGTAGATTCTGATTGATCTTCCAGAATGGCAAAGTGGGAAATTGGGCAGAAGCTACCCCTGAATCAGACAAAATTTTCTGTGAATCTTTTCCCATCAAATCTTAAATTTAAATCTATTAATTAATATAAAATTATGAATCTTTACTTATTCTTTAAATCAATTTAACCCATTCATATGGCCTTTTCCAAATTTTTTCAGAGAAAATTAAGAAAAACAGCCTATTTTCACCTGCTATTTTAAAAAATCACATATGAAACAATCCTTTTTGTCTGATATTTTAGTAAAATTTTGCCCAGTATTCCAAAGTAGCCAGAATAGGTCACTAGAGCTTCCCTGCTATTATTAGTGCTATATCAGGGCCCATACTTTCAAAAAAAGCTAAGAGATCGTAAGTTCATCAGCCAATCATGGACGGCCTTTCGAGCAAAATCCACCAATCGTAGACAAGAAAATAGAGCGTAAGTACTTACGTTCACTTAGCAAGTTTTAAAAGAATGGCCCCTGAGCCATTATATTAAGGCATGTAATATATCTCTTCCTTAGCCATGACTACAGCTTTCCTGCCATGTTCTGAACCATGAGGTTCCCCCTAGATGAATGAACTCCTATCTATTTGTTGACAAAAGTTGACAAGGGCTAAAAGATTACTAATTTATCAAAAATCTATAACTTGGGAGCTGTGAGATTTCAGCAGTAAGTAGGAATTTTTTATCTTGATTTAATTTTCTTTCACCCTCAATCACACATAAATTTCTATTCAATAGACCACAATGCAGAGTTTTGCTATCGAGTCCCCAAGACCGGGTTTTTAGGCCCAAAATGTCACTAGTATTGTTAAAGATTTGTTGCCATAACTACCTAAGCCATCAAGATTTCTTGCCAAAACACAGTTAATGAAGTATTTAAAGAGTAATGTCTTAGCAAGATCTGATAACATAAACTTTGATGCTAATGAGTTGCCTAATAGCTATAGATATTCACTCAATTTCTGCACCCTGGTCACCAGATACTGCACTTAACTTGCTGCTTGTCAATAAAAACCACACAATGTTGGTCAGAATTAAAATTGGTAGGGTTTGTTTGTTGCATATGATAAATAAATGTTTTTTTTATCAATCTAGGAAGTTATGGTTCAGTTTTCTCAATAGAATAGGTAATATCTATTGATCACTTAGAAAATATAAGCAGTGGTAAGTTCTGTGAAATTACCTAACATGTATTAACTTCCATCTAATTGGTAACAAAACTGTTCAATTTAGCCAGTGTATTTGAATGATAACCAAAATATTTAACACAAAAGTCACTATATTTCAATACGAAATTTCACTTTTCAAATCTCACTTTATGAGCAGTGACTTGAGCTTTTCTAGAATTTTTTCCAGCCACAAGAATATGATGGATGAAATAAAAATATATTGCTTATTGGATGAAATGTTGTTAAAACTATAATACATTATTGAGCCACGAGAATTGAATTTACTTATATTTTACGACTTTGAAGCAATGAAATTCCAGTAAAAAAGGCATGTTATTTCCAGGACACATGCCTCCATAACGCAGTCACACGCCTCCATAACGCAGATATATGAATATGCCTGAATAGATCAGACATTGCCCTTTTCAACTTTGGTTTCGCCTCAACAAATGGATACCTAAATAATATGGCCGTTCATCCTTTTAATTTCGAGATGTGTTGTTCATTTTTTAATTATGATATTGCATGATTATTGGCATAGTTTGGCAGAAGTTGTTCTTTAATTTAACTTCGATTGAAGACCAGAGATTACATACATTTTATTAACAAGTCAATAGCTTTGTTTCTTAATCAGTCGAAGGATGTTTGTTGCTAGCATTGGTGGATCGAAAATCAGGTTTTCAAAAGACATTTTAATGGCATGATGGCGGTTCGCTATCAATGCACCAAATCAAGGGATTTGTTTAGTCATTGAAATTATCTTCAGGGTAACTTTAAGTTAAAATTTTTGTTTTGTGTCCATTATACCTAATGTTTGTACTAATGTCTTTTAAAAATATTCATTTTAAATGTTGAAACTCATTCTTCTACCGTCAATAACATCAGATTTAGCACGCAGCTGATCTGCACTTAAATAGCCTCCAAAAACCGTATAATACTGGGAAGAATTATGATTTTTAAGGTTTGATTGCCTCATAATAACTTTTAAGCTGTTTTGAGTGTGCTAGGAAGTTGCTGTTCAGTTGTGCCTGTATTGAAAACCGGCGCCTCGAGTGGCATTGACGCTTGATATTGAATAACGTTTGTTTGAAACCTCGTTAATGCAGTAATATGTCTTGGTTATCTGCTTTTCGATCCACCTGCTCCAGCAAAAAAGAATGTTCGATTCATTGGAAAAAGCTGTCGGAAGAAAATGCATTCTTTGGTTTTCAATCGAACTTGCATTATTGATGTTATATGAATATGCTTGTTACTTTCTGCTCTAGTTATTAATCTTTGCAGAGTTTATTTCCAGATAAGTGTTTGTTTGTTGTTAATTGATGATTTAGTTTTTATGATTAGAAAAACATTGAAAAATGTTTGGTTTTATGAAAAAAGACAAAGATCGTGAAGATGACAAGAAGAAGAAAAAAGAAAAGAAAGACAGCAAGCGCAGCAAGGAGCGACCTGGCATGACCAGGGAGGAGCTATGGAGACTAGACGAGGCGCGCAAAAGTTTAACAGGCAAAGGCAAAAAGAAGAAAGAAGAAAAGCTGCCTAGTGGCATCACTGCTGATTATATGGACCAATTCTTGTCAGGGCTGCAGAAGAATTCAGACCCAGACATCGCTGCAGCCAACACATTTCGTGAGATACGCGAGCGCTACGAGGCCATGGCCTCCGCGTCGGGGGTGCAGAGTGACTCGTCCAGTGATGGTGTGAGCCTGCAGTCGTTACGAGCCTACATGTCGCAGCACGCGTCTCCTCCTAAACGGGGAATTTTGAAGGGAGGAGGCAGCACTGAGTACCAGGGTGTGCAGGGCAACATTGATGACGATGCATCGCTTATGCTCAATACAAACTATAATGAAATTTATGAAAATTTTACGCAGCGTCAGCTTGATCGAGCGGAATCGCAATCGTCGGTCCAAGATAGGAGCTCTCTTAGCAGTCCGCAGAGAGTTTCAAATGGCTCGCTCAGTCTAAGCCCAAGAAGTCCGTTGTCGCCGACATTACTTTCTCCTTCAGGGAGCCATCCTCTTGGTGCACTAATCAGTACAAATATGTTATCACAAATTGTTAATAGAGAACAGCCTCCTCCATTACCCTCGTCTCTGTCCTCGACCATGCACCCCCACGCTCCAGCAATGACTTATCAAATGCACAACTTCACGGGCGGTATGCCTGTTGGAGAATCGGCCGGGATGAGTCACCATTCTATGAAAAATTTTGATGCAGATCTTTGCTTACCGGCGTTAATTCCGTATGAGCTTCCGCCTCCACGTACTTTAGCTATCGACCGTCTGCCGGCTGGGGATTTTGGTTTTTCTCTGCGACGCACGCAAGTTCTTGAACGCGTCGCTAACCGCCCTCCTACGAAGCGCACAATCATTTTCGCTGAGCCCGGGTCTGTGGGCCGGACCAACACGACGGGGCTGCTGCCCGGGGACCGGCTCCTGCAAGTAAACGGCATTTCTGTGGAGAACAAGTCCAGGGAAGAGATCATAGAGCTCATCAAAGCCTCGGCAGACTACGTCACTTTAATGGTAAGTGAATCCTAAGTTGCTTCTATGTGCCTGATCTCAACGTACGCTGATCAGAATTTTGGCTTTTTGTTGCATGATTCTTGCTTCATTTATTTAGAAAACTAGGTCTTTGATTTGGAACCGTGTGCATTTATTTATCTTGTTTAATACCATCCGAAAATGGTACCTGAGCCTGGACCTTGCGGTACCTGAGGCTAGACCTTGCGGTACATGAGGCTGGACCTTGCGGTACATGAGGCTGGACCTTGCGGTACCTGAGGCTGGACCTTGCGGTACCTGAGGCTGGACCTTGCGGTACCTGAGGCTGTACCTTGCGGTACCTGAGGC